AAAGCGGATAAGTAAAAGGGAGAAAGACGTGGGGTTGGAAGACAAACACTTATTACAACATTGTGCCCTCGCGAAGGAGGGTCCGAATGAATAAGCTAAGCTAACCAGCTATGCTAATTAAGCTAACTATTACAAACCAAAACTAATTAACGATTCTAAGCTAATTATTACAACAATTGAAATAAATTAACTAACTATTCTAAGCTAGCTAAAATATTACAAAACGAATTAAGCTTAATTAATTACAACACTTGAATGAATGAAATAGCTAACTTATTCTAAGTTAACAAAAGCGACTAATTGGCCTCGAGGGCGAGGGACGCATGCATGCTCGGTTGATCCACCCAAAAATGCCATTACATTGCCATCAGATGCCTCTGTTAGCACCCGTTTGATCTTTGAAAATTGGGCAAACTCCCAGAATGCCTCTGCTCCAACTCAGGAGCACATTTGTGCAAAAAATTGACTGGTGGCCGGTCGGCCACAAAAAGTGGCTATCGGCTACCTCAACTGGCCGGTCGGCCACTAAAACTGGCCGGTCAGCCACCACTTCCTGAACTTCTCCTTTTCCTGCAACAGAGAGCAAACAGAGGTAAAACAATGTATTTTCAAGGAATGTGTGCACTGCTACCCTCCTTATCATTGCGCAAACTCAAAGGAAGGTAACTCTTGGCCTTCGAGCCATAAACCAAGCATTTTTAATGTATGATGGCTAGAAAACCAAGCTTGTACAAGCTTAATAAATGCACAAATAAGACTTGAAGGACCACCATCCTATCATGCATGATCCAGGTGACGGTGACTAAGAAAAGTGGCATGTTTCATCACTTCGAGTATGAAACGTCCCAAATTTCTTGTGTTCGGATTAACGTGCGATCCGAACACATGCAATGCAACACAAAGATGCTTAATCTTGCCTCTTTTACTTTGTTCATTTTGTTTACTGATTTTACATTACTGATTAGTTCTTTAATCGATTAAGTCCAAGGTATCTCGTCTTCTAAAGAGAAAGAATTGTCAACCGAGGAATGATTTAAGGCAAGAGAGAGGTCATGCCGTTGGTTAGTAGAAATCCTCAAAAGAGGATTAAAACCATTAAGCATGAACTCTATCTCAAGCTTAAAGGGTTCCAAACTTGAAACAACTCTCGAAAACGATTGAAAGTGAGACAAATGAGAATGTGGCAGAGAGTATGATGGCGAGATTATATGCAAAATAACACTACAACATGCAAACAATTCAAGCATTTCATGCTTAAAGCAAACAAAGAGCTAGTGAAGACCATTACACCATGAGCATGCAATACAAAGCTCAAAAGGCACAAACACTTTAAAACAGTCCTAAGACAGCCTAAAAGGAGTCGTAACACATGTTTGAAGTAAGACAAAAATGGCTAGAATAAGACGCCAAAACATAGCACAAGCTAGACCCTTAAGCATAATTGCACTACAACTATGCAAAACAAGGCTCATATGACCAAAGCAGCCTAAAATAGAGCTAAATCATTCCAAATTAGAGCCTAAAACATGCTTGATTAAGCTAGGTTAAGCCACAAAAACATGCTACCATGTGATGCTAACTAGGCATGCAAATGAGACACAAGGAGGGGAGGCCAACCCCTCTATTTTTGGATTTCAAAACATGCTTTCCACCACTGAAACAACTCTGAATTTCAGTGGTTTAAAGGTCCAAAAAGTTTGATTCTAATATGCTAAAAAAGATGGTGCAAAAAGCTTCACAATTAGGCAACAAAGAAGGGTAGACTACCCCTCAACACAAAATGACTTCAAACCAACATGTTAAGGCTAAAAAATTAGAGCTTTTTGTAGTTGAAAACTAGGCCAAAAACAGTGTAAAAAGATGGCAAAGCAATTGATTAAAACAAAGCCTACAAGGTAAGTCTCATACCTCTTGAAGCTCAGCACAAAACAACCATTCTTTTAGGCTCAAACCTCCTTCCAAAAGCTTAAATTGGGCTCTAAGGGATCTCAGCTCCAAGGTGGTCCAATTTGGTTAGGGGTTAGTGTGCAAAGGTGTAGAGAAAATCAATTATCAAGCACAAAGCAAGAAGAGAGAGAGAGAGAGAGAGAGAGAGAGAGAGAGAATTCTAGAGAGAGAGGGTGAATTTTGATCCAAAATTTCCAACCTCTCCAAATAGGGGAGAGCATCCCCTATATATAGAAACTCAAGCTTAGAGCTTGTATTCATCCCTCCATACATGTGTATGGTGATGCCCTTCAGTGAGTAACAGCTGGCACAGCTGGCAAACAAATATCTGAAAAAATGAACAAATGGTAGTCGACCACTTTAAGTGGTCGTTGGCCACACTAAGTAGTCAACCGGCCACTTCAACTAGCCGACCGACCACTTCAAGTGGTCGACAAGAACAAAATGTGGCCGACAAGGCCCCTTCCTTTTCCAGGCAAGAGGCAACAAAGTTTGACCCAAAAACAAGCATAAGACAAAATGAGTTTAGAGGCTCAAAGACAAGGTGTTCCGCCGAGAACTTCGGGTGCTCAAAACAAGCACAAACAAGCACAATCATCGAGTGCACAAACGATGACGTCCAAGTCTTGAGGTCGGTCAAAAATGGGATGTCTACAGTTGCCCCTCTTTAACGAAACTCAGAAGTCATGAAATAACGGGAGTGAATGTCAAAGCCCAGAGACAACCCATTTTTGACAAGGCCGAAGACTCAGACAAACAACCGAACAACACAAAGAACGGTTGCGCCCGTAGGCTGCCTACATATCCCTTTGCAAGGAATCAAACCAGCGTAGTTCTGGGGCAAGATGCAAATGATATGCATGATGCAAGAACATAACTCATGATCATGCAAAAAGGCTGTAATGAAACATCTAGATGCAAATGTTATGCAAAGAAATGCTACAGCAAACTCATACATAAGCAAGTAAACATGAACCAAACTACATTTCATGCAGAAAGGATGTAAGAAAATTATACACGCTTAACTACGCATCACGTAGGAAAGGAAAAGAACAACACAACCCTTGGGCGCACCCGAGGTGTGAAACAAGATCCTAATGCGTGGCACACACGAGGAGAGAGATGGTGTGAACCCAGGGACACACCCTAAGGTTCCGAGCCACAGAGAACAGTGATAACAAGTGAAACATATCCAACTATTAGGCAGCCAAAACAAAGAGTGGTATAAGCATTGGAATCCATCCGGATGCTTTTAACCAAAATGTCCTAACGCGTCACGCGCGAGAGGGAAAAGAGAGTGGTGCAAACACCGGAGGGTGGTATAAACATCGGAACACGTCCCAATGTTTCTAACCAAAACAAGGTGGTACAGTATCGGAACACGTTCCAAATGCTTCTAACCGAGAGGGTGGTATAAACATCGGGAACACACCCCAATGTTTCTAACCAAAGCAAGAGAGTGGTAAAAGCATCGGAACACATTCCAAACGCTTCTAACCAGGGAGTGGTATAAACATCGGGGACACGCCCTAGTGTTTCTAACCAAAGCATGGTATAAGCGTCGGAACACGTTCCAAACGCTTCTAACCAGGGGGGTGGTATAAACATCAGGCATACGTCCCAATGTTTCTGAACAAAAGGGTGGTATAAGCATCGGAACACATTCCAAACACTTCTAACCAGGGAGTGGTATAAACATCAGGCATACGTCCCAATGTTTCTAACCAAAACAAGGTGTGGCGTAAACACCAGGCGTACCTGAATGTTTCTAACCAAAAAAGGGTTCAAAGGACATGAATGATCTTACCTGGAGTTCCTTTAAATGAACCGTACATACAATGTCGTCTGGTTGCACCAGCTCGGAATGAACCGTACATACAATATTGTCCCTGCATAAGAAAAAGACTTGACAGGTACACTACAATAAGAATGCATGTTTTATGCAAGACGAATAACCATGACACAATGTTAGAGGCATGTCTTATGCACGACATGCAAGAGACAAAGCAAAAGTATATTCTACACAGCGCAAGTGAGAGCATGCTCTATACAACACCAAAATACATGTTCAATGCAACAAGTACAAACATTTTCTATGCGAATGTAAGGGCATGTATAACGCAATACAATGCGACATGCATATTCTATGCAAACATGAGAACATGTGTAATGCAATGCAATGCAACATACACACTCTAAGCTCAATAATAACGATGCATATTCCATGCAACATCAATAGCATGTTCGATGCAAAACACCAAATAAAGCAACGCGCGTTCTATGTAATGATAAAAAGAAAAAAAACGTGCCTTAATAGAACCGACTAAGTTGCAACCTACGATTTACCTCTCGGAGGAGTTATAGTATATTTCAAAAGGATACACCTTGTTCATACCGGCTAACAATGAGTCATGCATCGTAGACACGGTTCGAAACTCCCATAGAGACACTTTGAGCTGAAAAGTGAACTTTTCTTGCACTTTCTCAAGAGCCAAGGACACAAAACAGCATAAAAACACACAGGGAACACACTGGAAGCCTGTCGGCCACTTTTAGGCAGTGTCGGCCACTTGAAGATGTTGTCGGCCACTTAAGGTGGCCGGTCGGCCAGTTATGGCAAATCCGGGCCATTTTGGTCTTTTGCAGGGAGATCTTTAAATACACCTTTACAAGTCACATTTCCTCACGCCTACAGTGCCGAAAATACTTCTTCTTCATCTCTAGACACTTTTTTCCCCTTAGATCTGTGCTTTATACGAGTTTTCCAAGGCCCCACGCGAAGTTGATTCACTAAAACCCGTTGATTTCCTTCGTTTTGAACCGATTGAAATTTGTTTTCGGAGCTTTTTTCTCCATTTTCTCCACCTGAGGTTTGTTTCCCTCAAGTTTGTCTTGAGTTTGACGCCTTTTCCCGGGCTTTGACTTTGTCTCCCATTTTCTCTCTCCGAGAGTTGACTTTTGGCATTTTCCACCTACTTTGCTCATTTTCGCCTACTTTCTCACCTTCGTTCCAGAAGGAAGACGACATTCCTCACGAGGGAGGTTTACCAGGGATGGAGGGAGATCCCGAGTACATACCATTACCGCCTAGAGTCCGACCTTTCAACTCGGAGAGATACCGTCCTGAGGCGTATGCACTACTGCCCAGTACAGTCCGTCATTTCAGCAGATTTGCACGAGGTGCACCAGCAGATCTCATACTGCGAGAGCCAGAGTCTCACTTGTCTCATGGTGCCTCCAAGGTATGCACTGTATTCTTACATTTTCCACGATATACTTTACATTTCCTGTATAGTTTACACCTTTGCACTGTATTTCATCTGCTCATTCTGAACACATGTACACACTGTATTTCTTTTGCTCATTCTAAACACATTCACACACTGTATTTCGTCTGCTCATTCTGAACACATTCACACACTGTATTTCTTCTGTTCATTCTGAACACATTCACACACTGTATTTGACTTCTGTATGTACTCATTCCACACACCATACTTACATCTGATACACATATTATGGCTGATATATTCAAACTGCCTTTTCAGGTCACACCTCTACCGACAGGGCCGGCGGCGACAGAAGCAGGACCATCAGCGCCCCCCTCCAGTAGCATGGAGAGAGAGACAGGCTCCGACACGCGGCCGAGGGAGACATCGGGAGCCTATCATATGCGATGATGATGAGACCAGTGAGACGAAGGAGATTGGCGATCAGCATGACGAGTCATCCGAGAGCGGAGACGATGATGCTGACTCAAATTCCGCTAGTGGAGATGAGGCTGAGTCAGGTTCATATGCAGAGGATGACAACTCGGGTTCCAGTTCTGTATCTTATTCCACACACCATACTTGCATCTGATACACATACTGTGGCTGATATATTCAAATTGTCTTTTCAGGTCACACCTCTACCGACAGGGCCGGCGGCGACAGAAGCAGGACCATCAGCGCCCCCTCCAGTAGCATGGAGAGAGAGACAGGCTCCGACACGCGGCCGAGGGAGACATCGGGAGCCTATCATGCGCGATGATGATGAGACCAGTGAGACCGAGAAGATTGGCGATCAGCATGACGAGTCATCCGAGAGTGGAGACGATGATGCTGACTCAAATTCCGCTAGTGGAGATGAGGCTGAGTCAGGTTCATATGCAGAGGATGACAACTCCGGTTCCAGTTCTGCATCAAATTCAGACAATGGCGCAGATGGGGATAGCTCTGCAAAGTCTGCTCCGTCGAGGAAGAGGACGAAGAAGGCCTTTAGAGCTTGAGATAGCTGGTGTTGATTCATGTGTTTTGCTTTGTTTCTTTTTACTAGTAATGTTAGCACATTGTACAGCTTTAGGCAGTTTTATTTTCTTAAAAACTTGTACTCTTTGTAAAAAGAAACCATGATTGGAATGAAAATAGTTTTTTGATGAAAACGTGTTGCATTTTATATTCTGAGCATCGTATTGCACCATTTTACACAAAAATAGAATTGATGGAAATTGAATATTGTACATTGTCTAATGAACCGACCAACACAGAACAAACAGAGTAAAATAACTCAAAGAACTACTAATGCAACAACTCGATAAACAAAACAACAGCTCTATAAACGAAACAAATACAACTCGATAAGCAACAACAAAACAACTCGATAAACAAATTGAAACCACTCGATAAACAAATTAAAACAAACTTGAGAGTGACTCAACAAAATTACTAAAACAAAACAGCAGAATGCACTAGGAGTAGAATAAAAACACAGGTTCTCAGCATTCTCAACACACAGGAAGACCAAAGGCATTCTGCCGGACACAAACAGGGACTGTCGGCCACTTATTGGTGGCTGTCGGCCACAAAATGTGAACGGTCGGCTACTAAAGGTGGCCGGTCGGCTACCTTAACTGGTCGGTCGGCCATTAATGCAATGAGTCTCCAGATTGCTGTCATCTATCTTCCACTCCGTGCCTTATCTTCTACAAAAGTTGGGACTTCGTAGTTTCTTCATTCTAGCTCTGTTTTTGCCACAAATGGAGCCGTTCTTCACTGAAAAACTCTCATCTTGGATTGCAATTTTGGATGGCTCAGAAAAAGGGAATTTTCGGGGTTTCGGGATAAATGCACTATTCCCGCTAAGTCGTACTCCGTTGTGTTTTCCATTCCTTTATGCCGCGGCTAGATGTTGGAACCCAGTTACACATGTGTTTAACTTCCGAGGTCAAGAGGGGGGGGAGAGATGTGTCCTACAATTGAAGAATTCCAAGTTTTGATGAAATCTCGGCGTGATGAGGAAATTCTGCCCCAGTCGCGTTTCAGCACATCCAGGCTTTAGGAAGAATGTGTGGGCTCACTTTACACGATGCCGATCTTTGGTTCACAACGGAGCATTAGACATTCCCAATCTCATTCGCCTATTTTCTGATGCTGGTGACCGCGACAACCATCTTTGGCAATGTTTTCGGCAGCATGCCCTCTACTTGTGTATGTTGGTCCATTTCCTGCTTGCCCCTAGCTTCGGAGGGTCTAGCATTCGCTTGATCGAAGTAGCTCAAGGCTTGAAAGAGGGCAAGAGCTGCATTGACTTGACACTAGCTGAGAATTTGATGGGCTTGGACGCCTTCCGTAGGCGGGAGACGACCAAGTTCGCAGGAAGTCCACTACTCTTGTAGGTAATGTTTCCCACCCTATCTCACATGTGTTCCTTACATCACTTGGCCCTCAAGCTCTGTTTTTCTCTCAAAACGTTTTCTCACCAAGCTCTGTTTTTCTCTCAAAACCTTTTCTCACTTTTTTCTCCACATACACCTCTCTATTCTTTAATCTCTTTTATTTTTCATCCTTCCCCAGATATGGCTCATGGATAGGTTGAAAGTAGTGGACTTTTGCCCTACATATTTAGCACGAGGCTATTTCTTTCGCCAACAACTAGTTGATTTCCTGAACGAGGAATGGTGGTGCCACTGGATGTGCAACAGGTCTGCTACTGACATCGCTTGGTGTTGCCCCTAGTTTGATTTGCCCGAGATGAGCTATAGCATGTCTCGACAACCTAGCATTCAGTTGATTGGCTTGACACACTGTGTCTTCTATTTTTCATTCTAGTTCAGGCGTAAGTTTGGACATAACCAGACTAGCCCAGAAGAGGGGGTAGAGTACCTAGCTCCATTTCCAATCCGAGGTTCACAACTAGCTCAATATCCCACTGCATGGAGGACAAGAGAACTTCTGGCTCCCACTCCCAATTTCAGTTGCGCCCTTTCTAGCGAATGCATAGCCTGGCTTGAGGGTGAGGCGCAAACCAGGCCTACTTTAGCATCTGAAGCTTCCACAAGCTCTGGGAGAGGACGTAGAAACACCTGACTCATCAATACCCCAAGTTTATTTCTTTGATCTAACTTTCAAGTTTTCCTTTTGAATGTAATAAAAAGCAACTTTGATGTATATCAAGAGTTAGAGAACTTTGTATTAAAATCAATGAAATTGAAGTTGTGGGTACTGAAAATTTTCATTTTGGTCCAAATATGGTCTAAGTTGTAAAAATATTAATTTGAACAAAATCAACTTTTATTAAAACTTTTCAAAACTATTTTCAATAAGGATCACAACTGGACACACCCGAAATTTATCCTTAAGATGTACAACCCCGAATCTAGCAAACGGAAAGTTGCCCCTTGTCTGAATAGCACTGCACTGTACTGTAACCAGCTCTCATAGTGAAGATCAAAACCGAACTCTTGGATATAGAAAAGACAAAGATGACCAAAACAATCACATGGACACAGTTGATTTGGAAGTGTTTATGGTTGGACTTCAGAATGAAGTTGCCTACGTATCCCGAAGATGGGAATCAAGCCTTACGTAGGTTGGCTAGGGTTCACTCGGGTATTAACACTCTCCTTTTGCGTTCTAACTTTTGCCAAGGCCACCCTTTCTGGGTTTTCAACCTTGTGAGCTCAGTTTTTCTTTTTTCTAATTTTTTGTGCTCTAACTTTTGCCTAGGTCGCCCTTTCGAGTTTTTGGCTTAGCGAGACTCTCAAGGGTAGTATTTCTTCAACTTGTCCATGTTGATTGGTTGGGAGAATTCGAGGCCATCTAGGTCCATAAGAATGACAGCTCCACCCGTCCAAATAGACTTGATGATGTAAGGACCAGTCCAATTAAGTCTAAACTTGCCCCTAGGGTCGTGGATGTGAGCTCGGTTGTCTTTGAGCACCAAATCCCCTTCTTTCAGATTCATGTACTTAACTTTCTTGTTGAAAGCCCTGGCAATTCTGTGTTGATAACTTTGGACATGGTACAGTGCTTTCAACCTTTTCTCCTCAAACAGCATAAGTTCCTCGAACCTGCTTTGCTGCTAATCTGTTTCTGCTATCTGGCACTCAGCCATAACCTGCAACGATGGAACTTCAACTTCAATCGGTAGAACAACCTCCATCCCATAAACTAGAGAATACGGAGTTGCCCCAGTAGAAGTTCGGATTGATGTTCGGTAGCCCCAGAGAGCAAATGGCAACTTGTCTGGCCAGTCCTTATAGGTTTCAACCATCTTCTGTAGAATGTGCTTGATGTTCTTGTTGGCAGCCTCAACAACTCCATTGGTTTGCAGCCGATACGTGGATGACTTATGAAAAGCCATGTTGTATTTCTCAAACAAGTCAATCACTTCTTTCTTGAAGTGGGAACCTTTGTCCGAGATGATTTCATTCGGGACCCTATAACGACAGATGATGTTATTCCTAATGAACTTGGCTACGTGCGAAGCTTTCAGTACTGAGTAGGATTGGGCCTCGACCTACTTTGTAAAATAGTCTATTGCCACCAGGATATACTCATGCCCGTTTGACCCCTTCGGAGTAACTGCCCCAATAACATCAATTCCCCAGACTGAAAATGGCCATGGGGAAGTCATGTTGTACAGCTTCGACGGCGGAATATTTATGCGATTTGCATGTATTGGCATTTGTGGCATCGCCGAACAAAACCGATACAATCCTCCTCCATGGTTGACCAGTAGTAACCTTGTCTGAGAATTTTTTGAGCTAGCATCACTCCGCTCATGTGTGATCCGCATTCTCCTCCGTGGATGGCCTCCATTAGGCGCTTCGACTCTTCTTCATCTACACACAACTTGTGCATTCCCAGATGGCCTATTTTGTAGAATTTATCCCCGTAGATGATAAATTGAGCAGCTATTCGCCGTATTGCCCTTTTATCTTTGGTATTTACCCCTAGTTGATAATCCTCATTTTCCAAGAAGTTCCAGATATCGTGGTACCAGGGGTTTTGATCTTGTACTTCTTCTATCGCGGCAATCAACTCATAGGCCGGCACATATCTCTGTTCAATAATGATCGGACGCATCCGAACTCCCAAAAGGATGTCTATCATAGAAGATAGAGTTGATAAAGCATCAGCGAACCTGTTGCTCTCTCTTAACAGATGCATGAAGGTTAGCTTCTCAAACTTGGGAATCAGAACATCTAGGGTTTGGTGATAGATTTTCATTCTTTCTTCCTTAACCTTCTAGTCTCCTTTTGCTTGAGACATAACCAGGTTCGAGTCCCCAATGACGTCCAACCATTTTGCCCCTAGTTCCAGGGCAACTTCCAAGCCAGCGATACATGCTTCGTATTCTGTTTCATTGTTTGATACCTTAAACCGGAGTTTGAAAGCTAAAGGTATGTGGAAATTGTCGGGTGCTATCAGCAACACCCCTATGCCATAACCATACTGATTAGACGCTCCGTCAAAGTACATAGTACAAATCTCTTCTTTGACCTGCAGAATGGCCTCATCCGGGAATAGATACTCTACTGCTTCATCTCCCTCCACTAGGTGGTCGGCTAGGAACTCTGCTTCTCCCTTTTACAGACTTGCGAGTCATGTACTTGAAATCAAATTCGGAGAGAAGAAGTAACCAAAGGGCTAGCCTACCCGTAAGTGATGGTTTCTCAAAGAGATATTTGATGGGATCTAATCTTAAAACCATAATTAGGGAGTGAGCTAACAGGTAGTGCCTCAACTTCTTGGTAGCCCATACCAAGGCCAAACAAGCCTTCTCCAGCTGAGTGTAACGGGTCTCATATTCCAGCATCTTCTTACTCAGGTAATAGATGGTTTTCTCCACTTTATCCTCAGATTACTGTGCAAGCATGCAGCCCATTGTCGTGTCGGTTACTGACAGGTACAAAATCAATGGCTTCTCCGGCTCTGACGGTGACAACACGGGTGGGTTCTGTAGATACTGCTTGATCTGTTCAAAACCAACCTGGCATCAATCATC